GGAACTTTTACAGGAGATATTTAGGTGTGAAGTGAGGTTATCCCTACAAGGTTAAGCGGTAGCCGAGTGGAGGTTTGGTGGATCACAGTGATGCCTAAAAATGGGACTTAGGCACCTAATTAACTTTATGGATCTGGGACTTAAGTATTTTTGAAAATTCCACCCACAGTCTCTGTTCCAAGGAATTTTGATCTAGATAACAGATAGTGATCAGACAGAACTGCACTGAGATAGGCATATGATGGAAATAAATTAGATTGCAGTTTTTAAAGTATGATTTTAGGTGACAATGACATTAACTAATATGACTGTAAAAACGGCATCCCTTTACTCTATAAATCTGATATGTGTGTGTGTGTGTGTTTTCAGAGTGTTTATGGAAATCCACACTTAGGGTTGTCAATTAATCGCAGTTAACTCACACTATTAACTTTAAAAAATTAATCATGATTAATTGTAGTTTTAATTGAACTGTTAAACAATAATAGAAAACCAACTGAAATGTATTAAATATTTGTGGATGTTTTTCTATATTTTCAAATATATTGGTTTCTATTATAACACAGAATACAAAGTGTACAGTGCTCACTTTATATTTTTATTACAAATATTTGCACCATAAAAATGATAAACAAAGGAAATAGTATTTCTCATTCACCTCATACAAGTACTGTAGTGCAATGTCTTCATCATGCAACTGCAACTTACAAATGTAGATTTTTTTGTTTTGTTACATGACTACACTCAAAAACAAGACAATGTAAAAATTTAGAACCAACAAGTCCACTCAGTTCTACTTTTTTTTCAGCCAATCGCTAAGACAAACAAGTTTGTTTACATTTACGGGAGATACTGCTGCCCACTTCTTATTTACAATCTCACCTGAAAGTTGGAATAGGCATTCACATAGCACTTTTGTAGCTGTCATTGCAAGGAATTTATGTGCCAGATATGCTAAACATTCATATGTCCCTTCATGCTTCGACCACCATTCCAGAGGATATGCTTCCATGCTGATGATGCTCATTTAAAAAAATAATGTGTTAATTAAATTTGTGACTGAACTCCTTGGGGGAGAATTGTATGTCTCCTGCTCTGTGTTTTACCCACATTCCACCATATATTTCATGTTATAGCAGACTCGGATGATGATCCAGCACATGTTGTTCATTTTAAGAACACTTTCACTGCATGCAGGTTTGACAAAATGCAAAGAAGGTACCGATGTGAAATTTCTAAAGATAGCTACAGCACTCAACCCAAGGTTAAAGAATCTGAAGTGCCTTCCAAAAATCTGAGAGGAACAAGATGTGGAACATGCTTTCAGAAGTCTTAAAAGAGCAACACTCCGATGCGGAAATATGAACCACCAAAAAAGAAAATCAACCTGCTGGTGGCATCTAACTCAGATGATGAAAATGAATATTACTCCTGGGGGAATTCTGCACTACTGCGCACGTGCATAATTGATGACCCACACATATTTTAAACTTTTTGCGCAGAAAAAAGCTTTTGACGAAATGTTGCTGCAGTTCTATCTTTTGCCCACCAGACTGCGCTGTGGCACAAGAACAGCAGCAGCTCCCAGACAGCATGGGGAGAGAAAGAGCCTGCCTTCTTTGCAGCACCTGTCAGGTCAGGTCAGGACACAGGGGCTATGGGGAGATAGACAGCATGGGGTGCTGGGGGGGATCATAAGGGCTAGTGGGGGAGGACAGACTGGAGCAGCAGCCGAATGGGAGTGGAGGCACAGGGCCATGGGGGGGAAAGAGGTGCAGGGCCACATAGTGATGGGGGAGGGGTGCAGCGCTACATAGGGACAGGGGAGTGGCTAGGTGGGGGCATAGAAACACATGGAGACGGGGCGGAGATACAGGGACACAGAGACAGGGGTGTGCTGGGTGGGGGCACTGAGACACATGGGGATGGGAGAGGAGGTATAGAGCCGCATGGGGACAGGAGGAGGGGTGCAGGGCCACATGGGGATAAGGGGAGTGGGTGTCTGAATGGGGGTGGGAGGACATATGGACGGGATGCAAGGACACAAGGGGGTGCTAGAACACACAGTGATATGGGTAGATGTGCCTGACTGAATGGGAGAGGCTAGGGGTCAGCCAGGGTCTGCATAGGGGAAGCTCCCTAACAATCCCTCCCTGCCCCCCCCAAAAAATCTGTTCCATACTTTTCGCACCCATACCCAAAAACCTTCCAAGTTCACACCTAAGCTCCTTCCCAGCAATCTACTTCCCTCTCCCTCAGCTCCTCCTGCTTCTGAGGGGTGCGGGAAATACAGTTCTGTATTGTAGTTTAAATGAATTATTACTCAGAGTTCTGTATTAATATGCCTAGTAAGGAATCTATTTGTCAAAAAACATTTCCTGAATCTTTTTTGTTGTCTGTATTCTTACAGACATACTTGCTGACAGGTATTTTGAAAGAAATGACTAAAAATAATTGAAACTGGTGTGATTATATCGTGTTATTTTGACAAATAAAATATGCAGAATTTTAAAACATTGTGCACAGAATTTTTAATTTTTTGGCGCAGAAATCCCCCAGAAGTAGAAGATGTGTCGTTCCACACTGCTTTGGATTGTTATCTAACAGAATCCATCATCAGCATGGACGCATGTCCTCTGGAATGGTGGTTGAAGCATGAAGGGACATACGAATCTTTAGCGCATCTGGCATGTAAATATCTTGCAACGCTAGCTACAACAGTGCCATGCGAATGCCTGTTCTCACTTTCAGGTGACACTGTAAACAAGAAGCAAGCAACATTATCTCCCGCAAATGTAAACAAACTTGTTCGTCTGAGCAATTGGCTGAACAAGAAGTAGGACTGAGTGAACTTATAGGCACTAAAGTTTTATATTGTTTTATTTTTGAGTGCAGGTATTATTATTTTTTACGCAATTCTACATTTGTAAGTTCAACTTTCATAATAAAGCGATTGCACTACAGTAATTGTATTAGATTAATTGAAATACTATTTATTTTGTTTCTTTTTTACATTGCAAATATTTGTAATCAAAAATAAATATAAAGTGAGCACTGTACACTTTAAAAACATAAGAACGGCCATACGGGGTCAGACCAAAGGTCCATCTAGCCCAGTAGCCTGTCTTCCGACAGTGGCCAATGCCAGGTGCCCCATAGGGAATGAACAGAACAGGTAATCATCAAGTGATCCACCCCCTGTTGCCCATTCCCAGCTTCTAGCAAACAGGCTAGGGACAGCATCCCTGCCCATCCTGGCTAATAGCCATTGATGGACCTATCCTCCATGAATTTATCTAGCTCTTTTTTGAACCCTGTTATAGTCTTGGCCTTTGTATTCTGTGCTGTAATTGAAATCAATATATTTGAAAATGTAGAAAACATCCAAAAATATTTAAATAATTGGTATTCTATTATTAACAATGGAATTAATCACAATTAATTTTAAGCGCTTGACAGCCCTACCCACAGTATCATATTTCAAAGTCACTTTCAAAGAAGAACACCACTTTAAGTGTTCAGAGACCTGGCGGATTTTGCTCCAAAATTTCCTTTACCTGTCTGTGTTTCTAATTTTAAAACTTTCAACAATCCATCTTCTCCACCACATGCTATGAAACCTTGGTCCTTGTTCCAAGATATACATCTCAGCCGAACATTACCAGGAATTGCAATCTGTAAGAAAAAAATATTTTTCATTTAAATTGATTAATAATAACAATGTCTTATTTTGAAAAGACCCTAATCACAAACACTAAGCAAATACACTTGGGATATTGGTGTAAAGTATCAGAGGGGTAGCCGTGTTAGTCTGAATCTGTAAAAAGCAACAGAGGGTCCTGTGGCACCTCTCATAGGTGCCACATGTAGTCTCATAGGTGCCACAGGACCCTCTGTTGCTTTTTACTTGGGATACTGTGCATCATAATATAAATTGCGCCAGCAATTTATCAGAATTGTAAGCACATTACTACAATTAAAAGTTGATAGAATACAGTAAAGGCCATTCACGTAAAATTATACAAAGATAAACAAACCAAGGGAATCAAATATAGGGGAGGGGAAGTGTAACAATAATAACCAATAAAAATAGGACATTTCTTAAAAACATCTAACATAGGGATCCACTTATTTATTTTTCACGTCAACTGCTCCGATTGTGAGGGAAGGTGCCAAACACTGGGGGAGAAACGGATAAGGACACTGGGGATTTGCTCATGTTGGACTTACAGGGATCTCTCTAAGGTGCCTAAGGAAGGCAATTTAGGGGCTCCAATCCCCACATCTCTTCAATGCTCAGGGCCATGCCCTAGCTCTAGACTGCAGGCTTGCTGCAGAAATTACTGAGGGAAGGTCTCTGCATTATGTCAGCCTGGAGGCCAGACTAGGCCAGTCTCATGGGCCTCCTGGCCTTAAGATCGGTTCGAATCTGCCCAGCAGCCTGTCCCCGCTGCTCGATAGGGTCAGCTGTGAGGGGAGGCTGCAGGGAAGAGGCTCCCCCTCCCCCGCTCCGCGCCCCGGGCAGGTCAGGAGCTTTAGCCGCACTCGGCAGCTGGGGCCCGGAGGGAAGAGACCGGACCCAGGGCGGCGCTAGAGCGGATCAGATCCCAGCTCTCCCGGCCCCCTGCTGCTTTCGGGAGAGGGCGGCAGCGCTGGGGAGAGGCCCCTGCCCGCGGGTAGCGGAGAGGACCCGGCACCCCCGCGGAGCAGCTCAGAGCGGAGGCTCCCGCTAGGCCCGTGACCCCGGCCGCAGGACGGGCTCGGTGCTGCGGACGCGGGGCTCTGCCCCAGGCTGGGACAGGCCGCTGGGACACTCACCTTTTTGCTCAGGTAGATGAACATCCTGCGGAGACCAGGGGCGGGAAAGCGGGGGCAGCGGAAACCCGCGGGGGTGGGGGGCTCGGCCTGGGTGTGACTGGAAGGGGAACGTGTTACCGCGGCCTCCCTAGCAACCCGGCTTCCCTGGCAACCGCCGCCGGAGCCCGCCCCGGAAGTAAACACGTTCACTTCCGGGGCGGAGGGACGAATTGCAAGTTCTGCCCCTTCATTGTGTCCCTCCTAGCCAGTCTGATCCCCCTCGTCCCGCCGGTGTGGTGAGCGGGGTCGGGGCTCCTCCAGCGCTGTCGCGTCCCGGTTTGTGGCCGGGGCCGCCCAGAGCAGCCGGCGGGGGACGCTCCCTTGGGAGCTGCTGGCCCTTCCTGTAGATCCCCGAGGGCGGTGGGATGTGGGGTGCGCCTCCCTCCCCAGCTCTGCGCTGAGCTGGCTCCGACTCAGGCCCCTTCCGCTCACACACCCATCCGTGTGGCTGGGGTCAGCAGGCCCTCAGGACCCAGCTGAGGGGGTGGGTCAGAGCCTGGACTGGGTCCAAGAACTGCCATTTTGCGGTGGTGACGCAGGTCTAGCTGCGGATCTGAGTCAGAAGCGCTGTGTAGTGCAGCGTGGGCTTGTTAGTAGGGCTGCGAGAGCTGGGTCTGGCCCCTGGGAACTTGGGCTCACAGTGCAGTGTGGAGCCTCTAACACAGCCTTGGATGCACTAGTCCACAAGCCTGGGTCCCACAGACCCATGCTTAATGTTAGGGAAGCCCATACGGCTCTCCGTTATCACCCCTCTGTTGTTCACATCAAGGCAATAGGAAGGCAACTCCCATATGCTGCTAACACTGCACTCTCCATCTCATCCTCACCCAGGCTGTCCCTGATCTCAAGTGGCTGGTGCCCCGGGAGCCCTGTATGACAACCAGCTGCCTCAAGAGCCAGGCATGTAAACTTGAGGCAATACTGATTGGGAGGACCTGTTTTTGAGGCTCTAGTGAAGCACAGTTATGCTGTTTCCTCTCACCAGGTGAGGATAGTGGGATTCCCTGGTTCATGCCTCCTCGCCACCTCCCTTGACCACACCCTATATTTCCCATGGGTGCTGGTGTTGTATAGGCATAGGTTGACATTTTTGAACCCATCTGAGACTTAGGGCCAGGTCTTTATGAATCCAACCTACAGGACAAAATTTTTAAAAGTATTTAAGCATAGGTGCTGACTCTGTGGATGCTCCAGGGCTGAAGCACCCACAGAAAAAAAATAGTGGGTGCTTAGTACCCAGCTCCCCTCAGTGCCTCCCGTCATCGACAGCTCCCATCAATCAGTGCCTCCCACCTGCTGCGGTGTGCAGGTTTTGTAGTGTGCAGGAGGTGCTGAGGGGAGAAGGGGGAGAAGCAGGGACAGGGCATGCTCCTGGGAGGGTGCAGAACTGGGTGGAGTGGAGTGGGGTCTTGGTGAAAGGGGTTTGAAGGGGGGGGGGGGTTTGAGCACAACCAGGGACCAGAGGAATCCCACACCTGTGTATTTAAGCATCTGAAGATGCAAATAGGTGCCTTGTGGAATTTTCAACAGTGTTTAATTCCATGGATGGGAATAAGCTAAACTATTATTTATAATTTGGTAGAAGTCGTGTAGAAAGCTAAAAATGACTGAGAATTTAAACCCTGGACAATAACAGACCACAAATCTTGGTGCATTTTTTGGATTTTTTTTAGTCAAAGGAATACAAAAATTAAAAATCACAAAAATAGGTTTAAAGTAGAGAGAGAGAGAGAGAATGAATAATTATATATGCTCCCTCTATAAATAAAATTATATATAATTAATTATTCATTCCATAGCAAGAGGCACCATCTTTATTCAGAATTCTAAGGTTAGGAAAGTTCAGTTAGTTACATTCTCTGGTTGAACATGCTGAAATACTCAATTTTAAATAAAAGTGTTATTTCTTATATTGTAACATTGGTATATTTGGTGGTTAGAAAACAATGCCGAGGTGTTTTCCTTAAATGTAAGCATCTGTATGTTAAAAGGAAATATTAATAACTTGTTATAAGTGTATACAATTTAAATATAGATGAATACAAGGACATACTTCTGATCCTATAAATATACAGTATGTGTAAATGGAGGCTACACAGGGATGTAAGCAAAGTTAAATATTAGATGTAAGACTCTGCACTGAGCGATAGTCTCACTTCATTGTACACCTGGGCCCAGAGCCATAAAAGGTACTTAGACATCTAAACCTCATGCTTAGGTGTCCAAGTCCCCATTTTGGCTCCATTGTGTTCCACAAAGCTCCTGCCAAACCTGGTAAGCACCTAAATTCACTTAGCCCCTACATTTTCAAGATAAAAGCTCCCTAGGCACTTAAGTTTCTGCCTCTGGGCATGTGCACTGCTTCCTCCCTATAGACATCTGGACACCGCTCTCTTGCCTAAGCCCCAGTGATTCACAAACCAGGAGAAGATAGGCACTCGTCTGCTTGAGCAGGGGTTCTCAAGGTTATGGGGGGGGGTCCTGAGCTGTCAGCCTCCACCCCAAATCCTGCTTTTCCTCCAGCATTTAGAATGGTGTTAAATATATAAAGATCTGTTTTTAATTTATAAGGGGGGGGTCCACACTCAGAGGCTTGCTACGTGAAAGGGGTCACTAGTACAAAAGTTTGAGAACCACTGTGCTTGAGTCTCATGCAGGACCTGATTTGGTAGGTGTGCTCAGAGGCCACCTACTGGCTCCCATTCATAATCTGACCCCAGGAAGAGAAAGTACCCCCTACCTACCCTGTACCTTTCAGCACAGTGGTTAGTGCACTTGTATGGGATGTGGGAGACCCAGGTTCAATTCCCCAGTTTCTGCCAGAGGAAGAGAAAGGATATGAATAAGGAAAGTAGGATAAATATGGAATTAAGAAAATAGATGTGTTGTAAAGAAAGGCCCTGATAAGGAAATAGAAGGGAAAGGTCTCTTGAAAATAGTAAGTTATAGGGCCAGAAGGAATGAAGGAGGGAGGATGTCTGGTGCAAAGAATAAGAGAAGGGAAAGGTTCTAAAAAGAAGGCTTCTGACTGATAGGGGTGACTGCAGATGGGTTTAAATAAGACACAGAATCTGTCTTAAAATGAGCCAGCATGAGGCTTCCCAACTCATCCATCAGTGTTAAAGCCTAGGTGCAATGGAAAAGACTGTTGAGCACAAAGAAAGAGGGGGTGAAAAGGCCTTGGGGAGAAGGAGGTTATAAATCTTATCTGGATTAAGGATGAACTGTCTCAAATTGTTTTTTAGCTAAAGTTAGTAATTGGCAGAGACATTACTTTTTTATACCCTTTAACAAACAGGCAAACTCTTAAAGGGTTCGTTGCTAATACCTGGCTGACCACATTGGAGCTGACCAATATGGGTCTAAGCACCCCTGGGAATAGCCCTTTGTAAGGGTCTTGGTCAAATGCTGTGTTATTGTTTGGATGCAGCAAACTGCTTATTATTTAGGCATGTTTAGAGCAATTGTGAAAGTACCAGTTGGCCTTTGGATTCAATAAAGGAAGTTATGGTTAAACTAGTGTTTGGTGGTTTCCCCTATTATTAATTTCAAATATTATTAAAATTCCAACAGGGGAACTCCCATGTCTCAGGAGATTGCCCTAAGCACAGAGCTCTGGGGTATTCTGCTCTGGGTGCTTCCTCAATCTTCTGTTGAAGCTGTTCCAGTATGAACCAACTAAAGAGTTATTGAAGCATGGGCACTGGACTCCAGGTCTCCCACGTGGATGCCCTACCACTGGCTTACAGAGTCATATTTTCTTTCCCCCTGTCGGGTCTAATGACTATTCCACAATGGATAAATACTTAAATAGTCATTGAACCATATCAGACCTGAACAGCAGTGTAATGTTGCCACTATGGTTAATGTTTCAACAGCACTCCAATTATTGACTTTACATTTTTAGATGTATGTTTTATTGCTATTTAAAGTAGGGGAAAATCTTTAATTTCAAAACAAAAATCAACTATTCCTTTAAGACAGGCATTTTAAAAATAATTTTACAGATTGTGCTTTGAGTCAAATTCATAAATTCCATTTTAAAAGAAGTCCTAAATCCTTAGTCCATGCATCTTATTCTGCAATCCTGACTCTCACATGTTGCCCCAATGAAGTCAGTGCTACCGCACATGTAGACTCTGAATTATTGTTTTAAATATGGCAATTAAAATGGTTTGTTGATATTAAGGATCCATTCTACAAATCAATACACTGCTAAATAAGATTCATATCTTCTTCCATGACTCTGAATCAAGGAGTGTTTCACTGACTTTAATAAAAATGAGCATGAAAAAACATTTAGTCAGCCACATCAGTTCTTAATATAAATACTGTCTGAAACAGATGGAAGTTTTTTTTTTCCTTGCAATGGTGTGCTGATCTTAATTTTACTTTTAGATACTGTAACTTTTACTACAGTCCCATTTAATGGACTAATGCCTATGGTATTAATTTTCATACCACATAAAACCACAAAATGGCTCAGTGATGCATTGGATATATAATATACCAAATTACAAGATGGAGGTTTGTGTTTCCTGTATTTAAATAGGGAATAAAAAGTTACTGAAACCAGCACATACTGTACAGCTTATAGTACATACTGAAATACAGCTGATTTCTTTTAAAATTATTCTTATATAGCATTGTTGCAGTGACCATATCCTAGCACCCCTGCATGGGACACTAGTTTTATTACCAAGACCAATGCATTCCTGGAGGTCTTTGACATGTGGTCAATAATACCAAAGCAACCGTTGTGTCATAAGACATGCAAATTAAAACAAGCTAAGCACAATAAAAAACAATTGCTTTTAAGTTACACATAATAGTTCTAGTACAAGCTCCCAAATTGTACCAATACACTTGCAACTTTTTGCACACATCTAGTGGTTAAAGACAGTTAGCAGCTAGAGTTCTATCAAGCTCAATTTACACTCAACTGCATTTTTCAAATAAAAGAGTCCTTTCTAGATCAGCTGGATAAAAGGTTTGAAGAACAACTACTGCCTATCTGGAGATCTCAAAACACTTTACAAACAATTAAGGTCTGCAACACCTCTGAGGTACCCAGTTTACCTCTGCACCTGCTTCTCTTAACAGAGGTAGAGTCTGGTCCTGTGAAGTGCTGAGTTGAGTGCTTGACTTCAATGGAAGCTACAGGTGCTGATCATCAGCACACAGTCAGGTCTATTTTAACAGGAAGTTAAAGGTGCAAGCTGCAAGTCTACTAGTAACCCTGAACACCACATTAGCTATTTGCAATAAATCTTATTCATAAGCTAAAGCCATGTTCTTTTGTACAATATTACCTCACAGACATATTGTCTGGTTTCTGAAGGACCTACTACTTGGGGTGAAGCTGTTGATTTAGTGATCTTCTCCTTATAATTGAAATATCTAGATTCCCTGGAACTCCTGGTTCAAACCCCAGTACTGCATCCTGCTAAAATGGATGAATTGAGTCCCATGCACTTTCCTAGGTTGGGGAGGCTTTTCAGATTAGACCTTACAAAAAGCAGTTGTGAATTCTGTTGAACTGTGAATGTCCACAGTAAGTGTTTTCATTTGGGTTCCATTCCAGAAACTTTGGTTAACAGAAAGCCTGGTTTATCCTTGTAAGTTATTAGTTAACATACAAGCCTTAGATTTGTTGCTTTTGCTCTCCTGCCTGCTCCATCCTCAAAAAAACCAAACCCCACCAATCAGGATTTTGAGGACGTTTATTCAAGTAACTGTTTCTTGCTATATCCCAGAACTGGACCCTTCACTTTCCTCTCCGCACGATTGTTAAATCGTTAATAGATCTTTATATATAACCAACAGAAAAATACTTCCATCAGAAATCATTTGATACCCCATCACCTTCTCCAAAGGGAAAAGGTGCAAGGTGAATTGAAACAAAATTGTTCATTAGTTAGCCTGGGGGATATTTATGGTCACAAAATCCAGAGGGGCACAGAAATATAACTAGGAAAAAATAGGTGTCCTGTATCTGCTACTACCTTGGCAGAGTTGGGACAGATACAAGATGTTGATATGAAGGCTCAAAACTGGACATTTGCTGGCATGCTTGCTGTATCAGTTCTAATATAAACTTGGAACATGACAGTGCCCTCAGTACGACCAGTTTCCCTTTTGGAATTTTGTATACATTAGTTATAATGGCCTGAGTAGGACCTAAGAGGACTAGGTGCAATTAAAATATCTAGCCCTACTTGGGGGAGCACAGGTATAAATTAGGAGGAACGGGAGGCAACGAGAGCCAAGCTGGAGGCAAAGGCAAAGCTGTGCAATCTTGAATGTGACCGAGCATCTCAAACTTCGTATCCTTTGTATCAGAGAAGGAGAGGGTAGGGGAGGAAGAGCGAGACCATGAACTCAAAGCAGACATGAGGAATTTAAGTGAGGGCAGCACAGGAAGAATATCCCCTTATTCTACATTTCAGCTTACTGGAAAGCTACACACATTTTCCTAGATACAGAAGGTTGAGATTGTGGAGAATGTAAATTCTATTACATGGTCTTTTTTTTTTTTTTGACTAATATCCCCTTTCTTGTAGGGGAAGTTTTCCCTCCTACAAATGAGGACATAATACAAAGTTTCCTTAGATTACCACCAAAACAGTAAGCGATTTGTTTGGGAATTCCTCTGCATGCCCCCCCCCCAAACACAGAGTCAGGACTACTAGTAAACGTTTCTTAAAAGATTTATTAAAGTATCATTTATCACAAATAGAGAAATAAACAGATTAGAAGCATGCAACCATCATCTCCCACATTTAAGTAATTTCTGTATGCATTTTTTTCTTGCATTCACAGCATGTTGTCAAACTTCAAACGTTAGTGCCAGCTTCACTCTTCCTGAAAATGTTTCAAGGCAATAGATAACAAAAAACAGTAAGGTAAGATAGTGTGAGAAAAGTGCAGAGTAAAAAATATGTACACACACACACTCAAGCCTCCCTCCCAACCTCTTTCCCCCTCAAAAAAAATGATTAAAGAAAGGCAAAAAACTCATTTTGCTGGTAGATCAGATTGTCTTTATGAACTACTTTACAAAAATTACTCTACAAATTAAGAGCCCGACCTAGCAGACATGTATGCCTGCGGCTAACTTTACTCATATGAGTTGTTCAGTTGATTTCACATGAACTAGTTCACTCATGTAGTTCTAATGTTTGCAGTACAAGACCCCAAGGCAATAACCATGTTTAAGACCATTAAAGAGAACAAAAACTAAAGCCAACAGGAAAAAATTACTGCCAGATGTGTTTTGCTTAGTAGAGTTATATCAAACATCTTTCAACAGAAAGGTTTGCTCCTAAAGCCCGGAATATTTAAGCAATTTTGCAAGATTAAAAAGGACAAAATCCAAGAAGTTGGTACAGATGTTAACGAACGTAAGTACAGTTGGTTCAGGCAGGTATGTAAGGAGGTGGGGGTTCCTTCTCAGGCATCTTCACTGCCATTTCATAAGTCGGTAGGACATACTAAGAAAAAAAAAAAACAGGTTAACTGAGATTGCAGTCATTTAGGAGAGGCCATATCAACTTGATTCTCTATTGCAGGCAGATTTTAGAGTGAAACTCACAGCAAATGTAATGCCAGAAGCCGCAAAAGCAGCTTATTCTTCTGCTGAATCTAAATCTCAGTCATTACCTCTATTCCACTTTTATCCTTTTCTAGTAAGCAGCAAAGGAGCTAGTAGGGAAACAATTTCGCCTTCCATACTTCCAAGAAACAAGGTTAAGAAACTGGAATTTTACTTTTAAAGTTTTGTTGAAAAGACATTTTATGTCAAAACAAATGGACATGAGTGTTTGATAATTGTGTTTCTGCTAGAAAACAGATAAACAGAGTAGGCTAGAGCCACTTTGGGGGAGGGGTTCCTGGGTTGTTTGTGTGTGAAGGATTATCAGAAGCACAAAATAAAGAAAACGAACAAACAGCTTGATGTTGCTGATCTGCATTCTTGGCTCTGAAACAGTAATTTATGTGTCTGAAACTGCTGCATGCTAGACTCTGAAAGTATGTTCACTTTTGTGAACTGATTCACATCACCCTCTATGCCCATATAAATTTCATGCCACTATCTTCTCCAGTTGTCACTAGCAGCATCCAGTCTTGCAAAGCTAATGGAATGCTGCTACCATGTGTATGGGATAGTGGTTCCTGAACTATAGGAACAGTGTGCCCCAGAGCTGTCATAGGTGGCCCACAGAACAAAAAAGTGTTCTGATAACCAAATAGGAGGGACTGAGATTTGGGTTCTGATACAGTTTCTTTTATTTGTAGTTCCATGAACTATTTAGTCTGGAAAACCACTGGTACTGCAGCTGAGTCATACAGTACCCATTGTAATTAGAGCTATGTTAACTAATTTTTATTTGCTGCTCCCAATAATCCTAAATTATTTCTCTACTAGATCTAATGATCACAACACTTCCACAGGAACTTCATTGAGATGTTCAGGTACTATAGTGGTGGGGTTCATGCAAGTACAGAGAACACCTTGACATGGAAACAACTGATATGTAACCAGATGAGTGTTTCTCCTCCCAACTCCAGCATCTTCAGATTACAGGGAGGAGCTGTTCAGTTTCCCCCTAGTTAGGGCCTATTACTCCATTTGCTTCTAATGGAGACTGGAACTGAGACACAGAACTTCTGGCCAGTACTGAAGAGACAAGGATCTGTGAACAGACAGCTAGTGCACCTCGAACATAGTGGTCTGCAGTCCCATATCTACTAACCGAAAGAATTAGGACCAAAAATGGAGTCCAGTTAATGGACAGGGGGTAAAAGCCTGACCACCTAGAAACTAATGCTATCCTTGTATGGACATGAATAAGCAGAGGAAGCTCTGTTGTACTATTGACGCATTTTCCAAAAAGATCAGGTGCTGCAGGCCTTCTGGAAGTCCTGAAGCAGCTGCCATTCAATAGTGGTCCTTTGTTTTACCCGAGCAGTTGAGGCAGAGTCGCACAAATTCTACAGAATTTTAAATAAAATCTGATCCCTCCAGATTGACATCTTCTGACCTATGATCAGAAAATTAAATGCATGATGCATTGTCCAGCAGCCTCACAGAAACGTAAAATTAGGGTTCCAAAAGCATCTTTCCTCTGAGGAATATTCAGAAATTGCTCTCCAAGCCAGCACTGCAGCATTCACACACAGTTTATTGCCTGCCTCAACATCAATATAGTCTTGTCAAATTTAAATACTGCACTCAAAAGGTCTTCCATGTGTTACTTTATATCCACCACCTTGTACAGGTATTAAACAGAATCTGATTTAAATACATTTAATCACCTTTTACTCCATTCCCCCTTATTTGACTCATTTCTTTCATGTACAGTCCCTGGGGGCGGAGATAGAAGCCAATGCAACTGTAACTCAGACTGGTTCTCTTGAGGGGTAACAGTGTTTAAGTTTAGAAGTACACACAGACATTAAGTCAATTTTTAAAATAACTGGCAATTTCTGTTCCTTTGTCTAAGGAAGATACTTTACCTGTGGAGGAGCTTCAAATGCAGGATACACGGCTATCTCAGGCAAGTTTCTGTTGCTGATGTATTTATAGCAGTTCCATACACAGTTAATTAGATAGGCCTGAGAGATGAGAGTTACATTTTAATAAATAAATCAATTTGCTTAAAAAAAAGCTAACAGAAGCAGTGCAAGTCTATTGAGATCATTGGAATTTTTTACCTTCAGCAGTGAATATGGCCCAAGGTATTTAACCAGTTGGCCTTGTATATTAAATGTCCCCACCCAAATCATGGTCTTAATCAATAAAACTACCAAAAAGTTACTATTTCAGTATACGCCTACACGTACATCTAGAGAACAAACATCTCCAGCACATCAGAGAACAATTTTAATCCCCTTCACCTGGTTGCTAGCACACCAACTCAGGGGACTGGACTGCATGGAAGAGCAACACACAGTAGTAAAAAGTACTTCACAGATAATTCCTTCATTGGGTCCCTGACTAAGCTCCCTCTAAACAGTGTGGCAGCTGCCTATTAAGCTCTGTGCAGGCGCTCAGGGCTGCGTCAGTGAGAGATGCCACTCCAAGACCCGGATCTGCTGCGGCCAGTTGACAGGCACCCCTCCCTTGACCCTGACCCTGTCGCAGCTGGAGGAGAGGCACCTCTTCCCCCCCTCCCCCGCAGCCCAAGTGCTGCTGCAGGGAGAGAGCTGGTGGCTAGTCCTCTCCCCACTGCAGCCCTGGGGAGCCCACTGCACACCAAACTCCTCACTCCCCAGCCCTACCCCAGAGCTTGCATTCCCAGCCAGAGCCCTCACCCCCTGAACCCCAACCCTCTGTCCCAGCCCTGAGCCCCCCCCCCCCTCTCCAAATCCCTTGGCCCCACCCATGTTGATGCACATCACAAAATTCATTCTGCACATGGGTGGGAAAAATTAGAGGGAACACTTGTTCCTGACCCCTCTGGGAGAATATCCAAAGCCTGAATATTAACATTTAATAGTTTTGGTGGGTTTATTATTGTTCTCATCCCCATCCCCTCCCCTCCCCCGCCCCCCCCAGAAGAGGGGGAGAGGGGAAAACAAAACAAAAAAAAAGCACACACCACACACAGCAGCTTCAATAGCCAGTCTTCTCTTACCTCCAGGAAGCCTGATGCCCTTTTAGTACTAGGGTTGGGCTCAATCACCACTTTAATATAAATAAAAGCTTAACTTGATTTTATTCAAACTTGGATTGTAAGCATCTCGGAGCAGGGACTGTCATTTTGTTTGGTGTTAGTACAGTGCCTGATAAAGTGATCTATGCTTGGGGCTCCAAAGTGCTACCATAGTAGAAATAGTAACATTTGAAATTAATGAGTTATATTCTAATAGAAAGAACCTACTTCAAGTTTGCATTATGTAGCTATTTGTGCACTGTTCAGGTAACTGAAGGCAAAATGACAAATAGTTCAGCGAATTATGGCCCAATAGTGTACCAACACATACCATGTTGAAGCTTACTGAGATTTACATGCATGTACACATGACAAGTGTTTGGGGCCCTGCTGTTGGTATGTACATCTGTTTTGTTCTGTTCAAAAAAGCTTCACTTGCCACTTGCAAGTTATTCTAATATAGCAGAATCTCAGTTACAAACACCAGAGTTACAAATTGACTGGTCAGCGACCATACCTTTGGAAGTATGCAATCAGGCAGCAGCAGCGGAAAAAAACATAGTACTGTACTGTATTTTTTAACTGTAAACTACTAAAAAAAAATATAGGGGAAAGCCTAAAAAAAAGATTTGACAAGGTAAGGAAACTGTTTCTGTTCTTGTTTCAGTTAAATTAAGATAGTTAAAAGCAGTGTTTTTCCCTCTGCATAGTAAAGTTTCAAAGCAGTATTAAGCAATTGTTCAGTTGTAAGCTTTTGAAAGAACCATAACATTTTGTTCAGAGTTATGAACAACCTCCATTCCCAAGGTGTTAGTAACTGAGGTTCTCCTGTATAGGATTTCACAGAAGGCATTAACAAAATTAAGAAAAATTGCATTTGCTATTTCAACTTTTTTCCAGAAGACATCAAGAGACTAATTTTGTTCATTCTGGTTCCACCCCTTCCCACGCCACTCAATGATTTTAAAACGTGGTTGCACCCTTGTTCCAAAGCAAGAAAGTCATAGCTTGCAGACTCTCCACACAGCTTGTGACTGGGTTTGATCAGCTGGTGTGAGCACATGCATGGCCTGCTGTTCTTTTACTCTAAAAAGACAGTTCTTATAGATAGGCAGGGTCATAGAGCGTACATTTCCATAAATATGTAAATTTAGAGATCTACATTGTCTACTCACAAAAAGCAGGCATGAAGAGCACATGACTATGAACTGGCATCTCTAATTTTAGGCGTACCAGCCACAGTAGTGTTCCTTTATAGCATGAAGTCTTAATTCGGTTTCTTAAACACACTGGGTCATTTCAACTATTTTTTTTTTTTTTACTACCTGCACCTCCCCCACTTACATAATCACACCTTTATATATGGGCACAAGGGTTGGGAGGGAACAGAAAAGGTCCAATTCATCGAATTCAGAAGCCTTTTGTTTAACACTACAAAAATAAATTATTTTTTTCAGAACGTGATATACAATATTAACTAGCAATTTTTTCCCATTTGTGTAAAGTTTAAAAACAAAGCTAGTGGACAAAGTGCTTTGTTTAATTATGCCACTTCCTTGTGAGCTTTACTGCAGAAGGATGCAAAATTTAAAGGCCATGCTTGAAGGTTTATTTCTACCCCACACTACACAAAAACCTGTTCTTTCTACAGCACTATTCCCAATAAGCACAGCAATTAAAGAAGTTTGGTATCAATTTCACTATGCCAAATATGAAACTGAAGTCACCCTCCAATTTAAAAACCCTCAAAATATTGTTCAAGGTGCTTAATCCAAATTATGAATATGTTTGCAACCACGTATTAGTGATATTGCAATACACAAACTTCTGAAACTTAACATTTGTAATTTAAGCAACTAAAATACGAAGTATATAGCTTACCTTTAAGATGATAAATAAGGCAAAAAACACCAGGACAACGAACAAAATACAGCTTGAGTCAAGTGCAAGGAGGTCATCTTTGTAAGGGAAATCCGGCTAGTTTAAAAAAAAAAATCCACACATATCACAGAGTCAAAATCTACATTCACACTGGTGATTAGCTCAAACCGAGGGGCCCAAATCTCCCCTTTATGGATTATTTACATGAAAGAGCTAGGAAATGTCAAGTTCTCACTCTCTTCCTCTGGGGAGAATATTTGTCCCACTGCAACCCTGAGGTGACAGACTGCAGGGGAACCACCAGAGAATGGATCAGCCGCAGAGAGGTCTTGTGCTTTCAAATTGCCACCAAATCCTTCCCTCAATCCCATGGCAACACAATTCACCATGGACCACCTTCAAAAACAGCTGCTGACCCCACAATCCCACTCAGGAAGAGTGCATCTTTTGCAGTATGGAAGGAGAACTTATGCAAATTTATGCCGACTAGGCCAGAATGAGCTTGTGCCAGGCTGGCCTGCAAGTTGAGGGTGGAAAGTGTATCCCCCAATCTCCTACAAATAACAGAAGCCAAATTCTTTGGATCCAGAACTCCAGTCCCCAGGCCAGACCTGTATCTGAGTGGAACTCATTATATTAAGTTAAGTATACACTTGTATAGATCTAAAAACTGACCTGAGTGAATACTGATTTAAGTCATTTGAGTCTATGCTACCTACCAAATCTAGCTTATCATTAGCTTAGTGCTTTATTTAATGCCTGAAGGGGACTGATCTTCTCTTGGACTGGAAAGTTGTAAACCCTCTAGCGTATAAAAAACTTAGTTACAATCCCAGTTATCAAAACTGAGACTGTCATCTGTAAAATATTAACCTAATTTACCAGACACTTACTAACTCATCCAGATACTCTTTGATTCTTGGCATGTAAGTAAGAGAACTGATGGCAACCAGGCAACTGAGGACAAAGTTAAAGAGCTGGTAACAGAAGAATGGAATGAGCCAGCCCACTCGATGCTGGGAAAAAAAATAGTAATAATAATAATAATGGAGTTTGTTAATCTGAAAGTCACATTAGCTAAGTTTATTCATGGCATTCAGTTCTATACTTACAGCAATTGCTCCATACACCATCATTGCACTTATCGTGAACAGGAGGAGCGAGATGGCAAAGAGAACACAAGCATTTTCTGAATTAAAAATGGGAAACAAAAGTTATATTAATACCACCTTACAGTTTTGGTAGCTTCTATCAGGCTTATCATTTCAGTATTCCCAATTTGAGCACACAAGATCTACCTGTCTACTGTGGATAATCAGTTTATCCAACTGTTTTCATTTTGTTTTTGCACCCATAACTACGCATTACAAATAAGCAACAGCAGTGTGTATTATAGTACCTTCCATACCATTCACCGAAACAGTTAATTTGATTGTTTTATTAAGCCAATCTACAACAGCAAAATAGTTCATATGAAAATAGTATAACTTCCACCATATCTATAGCTTTTGAAGTTGCTTGATCACACAATTCAATCAGGGGCCATAGAAAGCAAATTGCTCTTTAACAGAGCATAATGCTATAAACTGCAGTACTTTCTACAGAGTAAGTAGCAGAAGAGGCTTAAAATTCAAATGAAAGCCATATGGCAGTAGTATTCAGGATATTAATGGGGGTCTGAATAAAGATTCTCCTTTTGTGTCATGTAGATTGATGACAAATATAATTGCCATCTGCAAACTACGTTATGTTCATCCTTTTATTGGTCTCAAATAATCTCTTATTTTGATCAGAGATAGAAACTGATTTGACCCATTTTAAGGAGACTGCAACAGAAAGATTAGCCTTATTTTTCTGAAGTATCCCAGGTTTATACTTCTGATACTACCTCATCCACTACATCATCCTCACCTTGTTCCAATTCAAAGAACGCATTGCCATCTTTACAGCAAATTTTTTAGGGGGTGGGGAGGGGAGGGTGCGAGGAAGAATACAAGTTATGGAACCATCAGGCTGTGTTACTGAGTAACCATGTGGTCTTATAGTCACCCTTATCTTTATTCTTCCATCCCACAATCCCTTCCATCTGTTTTTGAGCCTCCACTTTTTATATCATCTTGAATTCAGACTGTAAACTCTAGGACAAGGACTGATTTGCTTAAGACACCTGGTACATTAAAAACCACCTCACAACTCTCTATATACCAATACTGGATTATATAATATTACAGTTAAGCAAATTACAAAGTCATAAATACCTACAAAGGTGCAATCATTGAGCCATAAGCCTTGATATTGGCTCAATGATTGCATTTTTAGAATAGATTTGTCTGTGATGTTCAAAAATTTAAAAAAATAGTAAACTATTTCTATGAATTTTCTTTTAATAGTTTTCCCTGTGTACCATTCCATTCTTACTAGTTCTTTGACTGTGTCAAGATGACTTTAAAGAAGACGCAGTACAGACTCACTAAGTGTTCCTAGCATTCTAAGCTACTCAAATTTTCTATTTTCAGTACATTTTGTTCTTACATAAATTATTCAGACTCATGCACAATAGCTATAGCTGGCTTCTGAAAAAGAGCAACAAAGTCCTTGACAATCCAGATCTTTCTGGAATAAGGTAAATCAAAGTTCAGCAAGAGACAGCTAATTTGGTTTCCAATGTAATTTAATCAAATTAAAGTTACTAATAGGTAAAAATAATCAAGACAAGGATAGCAAATGTTTAACTGGAGAGACTACGGGTTTCTGCCAACCTACAAAGTGGTAGAAAAAACGGCAGTATCTAACCTACAGATTTGCTTTCAAGTGTTTAATACACCTCTACCTCGATACAACGCTGTCCAAAAAAAAAAAAAAAAAAAAAAAAAAAACTTACTGCGTTATAGGTGAAACCACGTCATATCGAACTTGCTTTGATCCACCAAAGTGCGCAGCCTTGCCCCCCCTCCCCCCGAGCACTGCTTTACCGCGTTATATCAGAATTCGTGTTATATCGGGTCACGTTATATCGGGGTAGAGGTGTATATTTAGAGAGATATGAAGTTGAAACAGTATGAAAGTTTTACTTAAGAGGCTTTCATAACACTGATTTTTTTAAAAAGCCACAGCAGAGAGTGTAACCACTGACTTATGATAAACATGAGCACACATTTGGCAGATGAGACGTAAATAAATTACACAGCAGCAATACAAGTTGTACTAGGTTACAGGGGTTCTCAAACTGGGGGTCAGGACACCTCAGGGGGTCATGAGGTTATTACATGGGGGGGGTGTCACGAGCGGTCAGCCTCCATCCCAAACCCTGCTTCACCTCCAGCATTTACAGTAGTGTTAAATATAAATTAAACACTTTTTTTAATATAGGGGGGGTCACACAGAGGCCTGCTGTGTGAAAGGGGTCACCACTACAAAAGTTTGAGAACCACTGTACTACGAGACCGGTTTCAGAGTGGTAGTCGTGGTAGTCTGTATCAGCAAAAATAACGAGGAGTCCTTGTGGCACCTTAGAAAGTAACATTTATTTGGGCATAAGCCAACCCCCATCCTTTCACGTATTTATACCTGCTCCTGTATTTCTCACTTCAGGCATCTGATGAAGTGGGTTCTAGCCCACGAAAGCTTATGCCCAAATAAATGTGTTAGTCTCTAAGGTGCCACAAGGACTCCTCATTTTTGTACTAGGAGAAAGCAGAAACTAGTGCAAGTGTGCAAAGTAGTAATCTGGGCACATTGAAGTTAGACACCTACCAGCCATTCTCTCAGAACCATAGTAATTACCAATGACTTCATACTGTATGTCAACATTTGGCACTGAATTAGGGTGGGTCACTTCCACAGTCAGCAAGATGCCCATCAACAAGTTCACCACCTGAGAAAGAGATTGCAGTTACTTAAAAGTTATTTATAGTTACAATATGGCAGATAAAGATTTAACGTGCTTCAGAAATCATTTTTCAGATGAGAATACAGCAAACTTTGGCCTAGTCTATACAGGAAAGCTGCACACAGTTAACTGAAGGTGTAATTTTAAGCCAGTTTAAATTGGTACAAAAAGCTGGGTTAGACACTCTTGTCTTGGTTTAAGAGTCACCCCTTAACTTCAGCCAGTGCAACTTTGTTTAGAAGAGGCCTTTGACTCCCTACACCCTCCCACTTCAAATGAAATAAGGGGGGGGGGGGGAGAAGAGAAGAGAATCAAACTTGGAAACAATGCAAGGAAGAAGAAATCCATCTCATGATCTGATCGGAAAGAGTAGAGTAAAATCAGGAAAGGAAAGAAGGTATAAACATGACACCATACGATACCTTTTAAAAAGGTGTTTCTACTTAATGCACCTAACAGACAATGTTACAATTAGATATAGCACAAGAGTAGTTTGCAACCATCCTACTATTCATTTAAATTGCAGGCAGTATAGCAGCACAAGTATTTTTCCACCCTAGCTAGTAGCCTTAGTGAAGGGAGGCTTTGGGGAGGGGGAAATTAGATACTATTGGCCCAACCCACTTCCCATGTGACTCAACAGAAAGTCATTTCAATGGGAACCAGATCAGACCCTATATAAAGGAGGTCAAGGGGGGATAAATAGCAAAAATCTAACAAAACCTGAAGTCTTGCCCCACAAGATTCAGTAGGATTTGTTTAGATATACTTCAGAGTTAAACCCTTATGGTTGTATGCCTGAATGCTTGATAACATTTGCTTTCGTTATATTATTGCTGCCACCTGCTGAGTATCTCATTTAAAGTCATTATTGTGGTTTAGAATTACTAGGTCTCAGTGTTTCAAAAGACTGTTTAACTACAAGAAAGAAAAAAAACTAGCCATGTTAACTGTGATTAGCCTAGAGTAAGATATTTTGCAAGAGCACCCAACAGCATTAGATGTTAGTAATTCGTTATTATAGTTTGATATTCATCTCTAATGTAAACTAGAAAAAAATTAGTCTGAAATCCAGTTCTTGGATGACAAAAATTTACAACAGTATCTTCACCCTGCAGACATTTCCCATTTCTTATTCAGAAAGACCTGTCTCCACTGGAATGTATTTTAGAAGGGAGATCCAGGAAAGTGTGGGTTTGCAGTTTCTATATACTAAATACTTAAACCAGATTTTCCCTTGTTTGCTGGTCAAGCTCCAGGAGTCTGATGCAGTGGCAGCAGATTAATACACAATTACTGAAGTCTTTTGTAACCAGAACAGCTCATTATGAAACTGAAGGTGCTTGTTAAATGTTAGTCTGTTTCTCACATTTTGAAAGTTAAAAATGCATTTGCTTAAGTTTTCTTGGGGGGGGAGGGGAGGAGGAGGTCAATTGAAACCTTGATTTCACATACACAGCAAGCTACCACAAACAGACCATTTACTACAAGTGCCAAATATTTTTATTCAAGTATATTCTCAGATTCACTTTTTTCTGATTCTACTGGTTGGTCTTTTATGGGGGGAGGGGGGAAGAGGAGATTAACTTGGTGCTTATCAATCACAATTGTGGCACAAGGCTTGATACAAGCATGTTCCCCACCAGAAAGCACCTTACCAAGACACCTCAGTCTTAGCATGCAATACACGTGCTGGATAGTTTGCCCATTTGCCTCTTATGAGTCTGCTATTTTACATCTTTCTGTACCTTTGCTCATCTGTGTTCTCACTGCTCTGTCTCATGTTTCCCACCTTTTCTACTCTCCCATCATAAGCATCTCTGCACTAATTTATCTCCTCACTGCTGCCAATCTCACTCAATCTAACGCCTTCATATGGAGATGATTTTATGAAAATATGCTAATGAGTGTAAATATAATGTAAGTGGAATATGCTTCATGCAAAAGATCTCTTGTAAGGTATCATTACAAAGCTTATAATCTGTGTGGGGTCATCCTATTTGTATGATTATATCATTCTTGTATCTGAAACTAGAAATAGGAAATATAACTGAGGGCCTATTATAATTATGCAAAGTGTGGGCCATTAATGGTGGTTTGGAATCTTGATGTCTCCCATTAACCAGGAGAACTGTTTGTAGATGGCTCTGTTTTACTTGCAAGTCTTCCCGTATAACTGTGTGCTGGCAAGGGGATAATGAAGTCTTGCAGTGACATGTGATCATGTCACCTGAACTGGAATCCATCTTTAACCTGTTGCTTTTCCATTGAGAAAGGGGAGGTGGGAACCCAGAGTGACAAAGGAGTCCCGCCTTATGCAAAAAATATGTAAGTAGGTGGAACAGAACAAAAGTGGGAGCCATCATGAGAAATCCCCTAGTTACCACCTGAGCTGGAACAAGGGCTGTATCAGGGGAAAGGATTGTGCCCAGACTAGGAAGGTGTCCAGTCTGAAAAACTTATTGAAACATCTGAGGGTGAGATTTTATCTGTATTCAGTTTTATTACTGTATTAGACTTAGATTTGCATGTTTTATTTTATTTTGCTTGGTAATTCACTTTGTTCTGTCTGCTACTACTTGGAACCACTTAAATCCTACTTTCTGTACTTAATAAAATCACTTTTTACTTAATTAACCTAGAGTATGCATTAATACGTGGGGGGGGCAAACAGCTGTGCATCTCTATCAGTGTTAGAGAGGGCGAACAATTTATGTATAAAGCTTATACAGGGTATAACTGATTTATTTGGGGTTTAGACCCCATTGGGAGTTGGGCATATGAGCGTTAAAGACAGGAACACGTCTGTAAGTTGCTTTCAGTTAAGTCTGCAGCTTTGGGGCACGTGGTTCAGACCCTGGGTCTGTGTTGGAGCAGACTGGCGTGTCTGGCTCAACAAGACAGAGTGCTGGAGTCCCAGGCTGGCAGGGAAAGCAGGGGCAGATATAGTCTTGGCATATTAATTGGCAGTTCCCCAGGGGGGTTTGGTGATCCAATCCGTCACAGAGGAGATTATAAGATTTATAATCAGGGTGTCTGCACTCTGAATATCTGGAAACTAGCTTTTTGGCTTTGAGAACTCCTTAACCCCACCTTCACAAAACACAAAAAGGTTCATGTAACTCTAGCCAAGTACATGATACAGCTGCATGTAATCATTGCCAATGTTTAAGATTCAATTTAAAAAAACCACACCACTTAGGTTAACAATACAAAAAAGCTTCGCTATAATGCATTAAAGCTCAGCTTCCATGATCTGCTATTTTAAGCCAAAGATTTATCAACACTTCATGTTGTAACACCTAAAGTAAATCTTCAGTAGATTTGCACTCATGCAAGATGCTCATTTCTAGTGCATTAGAATTCAAAAGCTATGACAAAAGCAGGGTCAAAATATGTTTGTAGAGTCATGATTCCAGTGTCTGAACAACACTCAACTGGGACAAGTGGTCAGATAAATCCTAACATTTCAGTGAAAATTGCCTTTGGTTTCATTAACTGCATTGTAAGTATTGTAGCTATATTTTATTTTGTCCACCCAAAATGATGCAAGAAGGGGGAGAAAGATGGGGAGTATGAAGTCTTAGGGATTTTATTTCTGATCAAGACTGACATTTGTAATTTGGACTCTGACTGATAAAAAGTCATAACCCACCCATCTCACAAAAGTAAAATATATGGCCTGGTGATTCTATTTGTACTGCCAGTTGAGACACCCAGATTAGATTTCGAACCCTATTTTCTTGTTACCTAAAATGTCAGACTGAGGGTGAACTACATTTTACTAGGATAAGCTCAACAGAAGCTTTTCAATTAAGAAACACTAATGACTCCAAATGAAGAGTCCAGTCTTACCCTCCTCATCTGAAAGGATGGTAGCTTCTGTTAAGATGAAGTTGTAATAGCTATGAGAATAGCAGGGTGAAAATTGTTTTCAGAGTCACCGTATGTTCTGTACTACAAACATGTTTAGCCATGGAGTCTACACACTTCGGGCCTGGTTATTAAACTGAACATTTTTACGTCTAGGTGGGAAGGGAGCCAGAAGACCACTGCAGGCAGCATGTGTATGGAATCTATAGAACTGAAGAACCACCTCGTCAATTCTATTCTTGCCCCCCCCCCCTCGCTCCAGTTTGTGGGTGCTGAGGGAAACACTTCGGCATGCACAGCAGCCTCCCTACCCTATTCTTGCTAAGGAGTAAAAGAGGCTCACTTTTGTGTTCAGAGCGATGTTATGTTAAGATTTAATCAAATTAATTTCATGATACCTAATACTTTAACAAAGACGTTTTGTTTTTAAAAAGTGGTATTCCACTCTACATGTATTCAGGATAACAACCAGTCTCAAAATAAAATATAGTCTGCATATATACATAGCTCAAGAAAAGATTAAATTACCTATATTTCTTTTTACTCTGAATCCAGTGGATAACAGAAGTATTAAAAGTGCAGCAGCTCCCACAAACTGATATGTGAGGTATCAGTTTCTCCGTATACTTGAGAGGAAGGACGATGTGGTACCTTGACAAATGCTGACTTATTAATGGATACTACTGTCTCACTCTTGGGTGTGTTTCCAGTGCCTAAGCAGACGAGTACTTCACTTTCATGGCGCAAAAGTCCTAAATTTTAGGTTCTGCCAAGCATCAGATTTACCCCATGATAACATAAGTAATTAAGTTGAAAAGCAAGGATTCTTATTTTCTGGGGGGGGGGGGGGAGGAGGGAGGGAAGGAGGAACAGGAGAGAGAGGAAAAATAGCTGCACTCCCCTCTGCTTCCCCTTACTTAAAAAACAAAACAAAAACCTATTTCTTCCTCTTAAAAAGGCAATTATTTCCCTACATCTCAGACAAAAACCTCATGTTTTAAATAAATAACTTAAAAATATATATATTTTTGTAAAGATTTGCTCATTACTGAATGCAATTAAACATCTCCACTTCTGAAGGTTCAACTAAACAATTGGATGTTGGACTTCAC